CGGCATGCCGGACGGCGCCGGAGGCCGAGGGCGGCGGCGGGGCGGGGCGGGCGGTGGCGAGGGTGGCGGCGACGGAGGCGGCCCGCGGCGGCGGGTGTGAGGGAAGCGGCGGGGAGGGCGGCGGCGGAGCACCTTGAGCTCTTCGGACAGCGAGGCCATCTCGCGGCTGAGGCGGGCGATCTCCTCCTCGCACTGCTTGGCCTCCTTGTACTTGCCTGCTCACAGCTGCAGGTGTGAAGAGACGCTGTTCACAGCTGGCGAAGAAGAAGGAGACCCACACCTGCTCACGGCTGCAGGTGTGAAGAGACGCTGTTCACAGCTAGCCCCTCTGGCCTCCTTGTACTTGCCCGTCTCGGCGGCCGCCTTCATCGCTCGCTCGGCGATGTCGCGCCTGCGGGGGGGAAGCGCCATCGGACGTGTCGAGGAGGCCATCGGACGTGGCTAGGAGGTCATCGGACGTGGCTAGGAGGTCATCGGAAGTGTCTTGGAGGTCATCGGACGTGGCTAGGAGGTCATCGGAAGTGTCTTGGAAGTCATCGGACGTGTCTTGGAGGTCCTCGGAAGTGTCTTGGAGGTCATCGGAAGTGTCTAGGAAGTCATCGGACGTGGCTAGGAATTCATCGGAAGTGTCTTGGAGGTCATCGGAAGTGTCTAGGAGGTCATCGGACGTGTCTTGGAGGTCATCGGAAGTGTCTTGGAGGTCATCGGAAGTGTCTTGGAGGTCATCGGAAGTGTCTTGGAGGTCATCGGAAGTGTCTAGGAGGTCATCGGAAGTGTCTAGGAGGTCATCGGAAGTGTCTAGGAGGTCATCGGAAGTGTCTTGGAGGTCATCGGACGTGTCTTGGAGGTCCTCGGACGTGTCTGGAGGTGTGTTCAGAAGTGTCCTCGGAAGTGCCATCCGAAGGGCATCGGAAGTGTCAAAGACGTGTGAAGTGCATCGGAAGTGTCAAAGACGTGTGAAGTGCATCGGAAGTGTCAAAGACGTGTGAAGTGCATCGGAAGTGTCAAAGACGTGTGAAGTGCATCGGAAGTGTCAAAGACGTGTGAAGTGCATCGGAAGTGTCAAAGACGTGTGAAGTGCATCGGAAGTGTCAAAGACGTGTGAAGTGCATCGGAAGTGTCAAAGACGTGTGAAGTGCATCGGAAGTGTCAAAGACGTGTGAAGTGCATCGGAAGTGTCAAAGACGTGTGAAGTGCATCGGAAGTGTCAAAGACGTGTGAAGTGCATCGGAAGTGTCAAAGACGTGTCCCGAAGTGCATCGGAGGTGTGCAGAAACTGTCGCGCCTTGGTGCCCGCGTCTCGAGGAGCCGCCGCGTCTCGATGACCTTCTGCGTCTCCTTTCGCTCGAACAGGGCGGAGGTTGCGTCTTCGTCGCGAAAGGACCTGGCGAGCAGAAAAAGAAATATCGCCGCCGCGAGCAGAACAAAACGCACGCGTGTTTGGGGGGGGGGGGAGAAAGGCGGACGGTGGGAGAGAGGCGGCAGGCGGGAGAGGACAATGTCGAGGGCGGCGGCGGCGTGCCGGCTGAGCGGCTGCGGCGGTCATTGCACGAGGGCGGGAATTGCGCGAGGCCTGTGATTGCC